TTTTTTTATTTTTCCCCTGTCTCTATAGGTTTCAAACCTAGCGAACAATCAACCAGTTGTTCGATTGCAAAGAATGAGCAATGATTTGTTACGGCAATGGAATGTAACAAATCATTGCTCATTCTTTGTAATCGAACAACACTACTACCAAATCTCAAATTAAAGCAATGTCGTTGTAAATGTGTGACGATTACTTTGCTCTTAAACTATACATATTTGATTTTCATTATATGTTTCCATTACTTCCATTACGTTCCATTACATATTGATTAATTTCCATTATTTCCATTCTTTACTTTGTGAATAACCCTAGGCAGATGCCCGAAAGAAGTTCGAACGGTCAATTGCGCAAAAAACAACGAAAATTCGCTGGTCACTCATCGAATTTGGCAAATGGTCGTATTCAAGTGCAAAAGGAGCCCGAACTCACCGAAGAGGAACGACAAAATATTCTGCGCTATGTGGAAGAAGAAGAAGCCAACGGTGAAACACTCGACGAGAATGGACTACGAAAAATGATTTTATTATTTGAAAAACGAAATTTAAAAAATCAAGAAATGCGAATCAAGTTCCCCGACCAGCCCGAAAAATTCATGGAAAGTGAAATCGAATTACATGCCGTCATAAATGATATGAAAGTAGTTGCAACCGTGCCCGATCTCTATCAATTATTGGTTGAACTGAATGCTATTCCAAGTTTGCTTGAATTGTTGGCCCATCAAAATACGGATATTAGCGTTGCCGTTATCGATTTAATTCAAGAGCTGACCGACGTTGATATTCTTCATGAGAGTTTAGAAGGTGCCGAAATATTGATAAGCAGTCTACGAAAGCAACAGATTTGCGCTTTGCTCGTCCAAAACATGGATCGGTTGGATGAATCGGTTCGCGAAGAATCGGAAGGTGTGCACAATTCATTGGCCATTTTCGAAAATTTAATCGAAATCCATACGGAAATCTGCAAAGAAGCAACCAGTCAAGGTTTACTGCAATGGCTTGTAAAACGTTTGAAACAAAAGGGACCATTCAATCCAAATAAATTGTACTGCAGTGAAATACTATCGATTTTGGTTCAAGACGATGATGAGATGCGTTTGCAATTGGGAACATTCGACGGAATCGATATTCTGTTGCAACAACTTGCCGTCTATAAACGTCACGATCCAACATCAAATGAGGAACAAGAGTATATGGAAAATTTATTCAATTGTTTGTGCTCTTGTTTAATGGCCAAAGAGAATCGCGATCGATTCTTGAAAGGCGAAGGTTTGCAACTGATGAATTTAATGTTGCGCGAAAAGAAACTCAGTCGAAATGGTTCACTCAAAGTTCTCGATCATGCAATGTCCGGCACAGATGGCAAAGAAAATTGCAATAAATTCGTTGATATTTTGGGTTTGCGTACAATTTTCCCACTATTCATGACAACACCGAAAAAAAGTAAAAAACGAATCATCAGCGTTGAATCGCATGAAGAGCACGTTCTATCGATTATCTCAAGTATGCTACGAAATTGCAAAGGTTCGCAACGTTCTCGATTACTATCGAAATTCACCGAGAATGAATTTGAAAAAGTTGAACGTTTGCTCGAATTGCATTTGAAGTATTTGGAAAAAGTGGATGCGATCGATGCTGAAATTGACGAAGATAACGAAGAAGAAGATGAAGTTTATTTGAAACGTTTAGCGGGCGGTCTATTTACACTGCAACTTATCGACTATATAATACTAGAAATTTCAGCGACATCCGAAACCATCAAACAACACGTGGTCAAAATTTTGAACCTAAGAAAGGCATCCATGAAACGCATCCGACATATAATGCGAGGTAATCATTTTCATTATTTTTACATTTATACGTGGATTTTAATATATTTGGCTTGTTTTTTCGCTGACTTTAGAGTACGCCGGTAATCTGGGAGAGACGGAAGATAATGAATGGCGCGACCAAGAACAACAGCACATCATTCAACTCGTTGATCGTTTTTAAGACTTTGATAATTCTGAATAAAACCTTGAATCGTTCACTGAAAATTATTTATAAAAATAAATAAACAAAAATAAAGAGAAAAACATGTGTTTTAAGTTTTATCCATGAGTGCAAATAAAATCCAATATCCAAAATGCATTTAAATCAATATAACGGTTTGGTAGTTTTTTTTTTGCTATATTTTGTTTTATTGTAGGATATTTGAGCTAGTACAGAGTACACTTTTTCTTGAATTGTATTTTACTTCGTTTAATTAGTGGCGAATTGAATTTTCTCACTTCAAAAAGAACAGAATCGTTGCACATATCATTTGAAAGACTTTTGTTGATTTTATTTTCTTGTTGTTGTTCAAAATTTCAAGAAACATGTAAAAAAATTTGATAGAAACATTCTAACTCTTTATAAATGCAAGGCATTTAGCAAAATTCATAAAAAGACTTTGAGTGTGCTATCATTTTAATAGATAATTAATTAATAACATGATTTTAATTTCATCAATCTCACATTCAAATTGAATTGAATCGTTTCCATTGTATTCGTCAATTTACTCAATTAAACAAGCTAGATCAACGTGTTTTTCTTCTTTGATAAAAATTCAATTAGAATCAATTAAATAAACATCGAATATATTTTCTCAATTGAATTTGAATTTGTGATTTAAAATATGTGGTAGATTCAGAGATTATACTGTGGATAGAAATATATTAGTGCATATTTGCCATCAAATAGAAATATGCGATATTCGCAATATATCTCGTGAGATGTATGTGCGTCAGTTACGAAAACACGAATTCTTATTGACACGAAGCGAGACATGAAGAAACACAATTACATGTATGTGTGAGTACGCTTCGTGCCTTGTATCCTATTCTTTATTCCCCTTTTTCATCTGCCTGCTATGTAGCGTAGCAGCCTTTGCCAACATGCATATATGATAGCAGACGAAAGAGTGGAATAACGAATAAGACGCTAGGCATGAAGCATACACAACACATTCTTCGTATCTCGCTCTGTATTCTTTTTCGTGTTTTCGTAATTGACGCACTTATACATCTTACAAGCGGCGAGATATATTGCGAATATCGCATATTTCTATTTGATGGCAAATATGCACTAATATATTTCTATTCACAGTATAGTCTCTGGGTAGATTGATAACGGATAACACGGATCTTTTTATGAATGTCAATGGATCTTGCAGTGTATAATTTGCACAATGTTCTGTACATTGTGTGTATGTTATCGATTCTGCGACAGTTTTAAAAGAATTAGTAAATTGCATATGGAAAACAAAAATGAACATTTCAAAAGAAAAACTGAACTCAAAGTGACTTATGTACATAATTTAGTGTCACATTTTTTTGGTTGTTGCTTTTTTAATTTTTTTAAATGTATTTTTTTGGTTGTATTTAGTTACTCATGTTGGGTTTTACAATTAAGGCAGCGAAGACTGGGATCACGTATAGCGACATGAAACACTCATTTTATTTAGGCTTATCTAAGTACCTTTTTTACTAACATTTAATAAATAAATTTCTTTTCGGCATACATTTTTATATTCATTTTTTCATCCATCATGTTCTTGTTGTTGTTGTTGTTTCATTTTAATAATTTTTGTTTTGTTAGCTATTTATTTAGTGTCATTAGCTATATAATAATTTATTTGCTGTTTCCACACAAAAATGAGGAAGACAATGAATCGTGAGAAGTAAATTAAACGAAGTTGAGTGTTTTTAATTGGTTGTTGTTGTTGTGGTTTTTGTATTGGTTGTTTACATCGCATTCGTTGACGAGATAGTAGAGTTTTAAAGCAATTCGTTTATTTGTGTTTAGTGTGTATGTTGTATTTGCATACCATATAGTACTATATATTTAATAAAATCTCGTTGCCAGGGGAGAATTGTTTCCCAATGAAAACTACTTACTTTAAAGTTCGAATGTGTACTATTCGCAATAAGAATATGTTCAACGACGAAAATCAAAAGGAAACATACATTTTCTTATGCATTATAATTTATAATATAATTATATGATTTGTTTTTTGGTGATTTTTTGTTGTTGTTGTTGGACTTCTAAAATATGAACAAATAATATACTATTTTATCTCTCTTGGATGTTTGTGTTTTATTTATTTAATTACTAAAAACAATATTCAAATAAAAAAGAAACACATTTCCACATAGTGGAAAAACTATCCAATTGAGGTCGTTATTTTTTTCCATTTGTAATTCTTGTTTTTCTTTTTCTTCTTCTTTCTTTTGTTTAACTCCAAATTGAAATTTAACCTTTCGTTTTACTAATAGTCCAATAAAATGTGTTACACATATTTTTTTTTGTTATTTCGATTACACGATTCTGGTAGAAACTTTATTCTATTTAAATGGGACGGTTCAATAAGAAAATCAAAGCAACAAAAAACGAAACAGTTTTAACCCTTAACCGGGCAGATGGGGTATCTAATACCCAGTAGCTCGATTTAAAAAAAAATACATAAAATCTTATTGTAATCTGCCAAAACGTGTTCTAATATATTCTTTTATACTTTTTCTAATCTTTGACAAAAATTATTTCGATTACGGTTCTCTAAGTGCCACCGGAGTAAGGTTTAGACAAAAAATCTCAACTAGCGAGCTGTGTGGAATATTATAACATTGCAAGTAGTAGTGTTAGTGTTTTTACCTGCGCAGTTAAGGGTTAAAGAAAGAAGACTTTTCGATAATATAACTTTTGTTTTCAGATTGAAAAATTTCTTTCAAGTAGGATTTCACGAGAAAAAGTTAAACAAAAAAAGGGAGCACACATTCTTCTTTGTCGATTTTGATCTTCGAATGAATGTGTATTTGGTATGTATGCCCTTTAGGTGTGAATTGAAATGGCATTTATAAGTATTATAATTTGTGTTGTCGACAGCTGACTATTTCGTAGTGCTAGCATAAAAACTTGAAAGTTTCTTATTTTGTTGTGTTGTATTTAATTGAAAGAAGAAAAGAAATGTCAGTTCGAGCACATGTGTTCCATAACAGTTGAATTCTCGTTGAGTTTTATTTTTGGAAGTAAAAATCAACATACTCAGTACTCACACATATTTTCTCATCCCGTCCAAATTGGAAAAATTAAGTTATTGACACACATCAAATTGCTTCCAATGTCTACCCTTTTACTACGTTTTACTATGCGTAGCAAGTTTTGATCGAATCTATTTAGGAAATAGAACCGGCATTAACAGGAAACTGTTGTAGAGTCAATGAAAGTGTAACACATTTATCATTTTTATGCCACTTAATTAATAGTTAGTTTATAATTCATGTACCGCTTTATGATTTTATTGGATTTTATTGTGTTAATATGACATTGGTTGTTTAATTAATAGTTTTGACATTTTTTTCTTTCTCTTCGTTTCACTCTATCATCTTCTGTGACATATCATTAAATTAGTAAATTGCATTTGTTACCGAATATTCCCATCGTAATGTGTATACTTCTATGACATTGATTTATTTATTGTTTTGATAATGATCACATCCATATTGAGCGGATGCCTTACATCTATTGACAAAATTGTTTAAATCGCATTTTGCTAATTTCGATAGCTGGAAAATTCAATAATACTCACTCTTTATCGTTTCATTTTTATTTTTTAATACATATATATTAAATCTCTGGAACAAAAGTGCCTTTTAAAAAATTCAAATCGGTATGGAGCCATCGGATTGGTGACCGACAAAAATGTGCATTAAATACATGCAAAAAGAAACAAAGGCCTTCAACAAAGCAATAAAGGCCATGTAACTAATATAGCGGTTTGGTACTCAAAATTGTGGTTTATTATGAGTGCTGTGCAATAGTGCAATAGGGTGGTTCAATACTCATCGAAATTGGCTGACTCGTCCCGTCACCTCATGAGGATGTCAGATAAAGTTAGATTTTGTTTAAGTTATTTTTTCGACTTAACACACCAAATGACCAGAATCAGCATTTTTTTATTTTTTTTCTGAACACTAAAAAGTGTAGTATACTTATACAATATCACATATTTTTATGTTCAAACCATCAAAAGAGGACCAGAAAAATGCCGTATTTCACTTTGGTGTGTTAAATCAAACAAAATGAGCCAGAAGTAAGTATTTGTCAACAGAGTGTAAAAATTGAACCACCCCACCATACAACCACACCGCTCGGCCAAGATTATTATTTTCATACCATTGAACAGCAGCCACAACCTCGTCGATTCTAAAATATACTTATTTCATTTAAAAGTATATATAGTTTGCTATTTGTCATACAATTTAAAAAAAACGGTTTTCCTAATGTGCCCTGATTTACACTAGTAGCACCGATGAGAATGTATAACTCAGTTGACATAGGCAATGATTTCTTAACAAATGATAATTGCCATATCCTCTGATGTTGTTGGTTTATTTCTGAGTGTATTCGACACACAAACAGAACATTTAAGCGTCTTAGCTAACAATTTTCGAATAGACTTTTTTTATAAACAGACATTCACAAAATACAAGTTTTTTGGGGAGCCGATTAAAGCATCACCATGCTTTGTTCGAAATTGGAACGATCTTCTTTATGCTCTCAATATTAGTGTTTCATGAGGGGAAAAAACTTTTGAATGAATGCGATGTTGGCGCTGGCTAAATTCAGTTATCAGCAAGAAATGATACACCAAATAAGAAATCAGAAATAATACTTAAATTATATTTTAGCTTGATTTCTAGGCAAAAAGGAGTTTTTTTTTTAGAAAATAAAATATACATATTTTTCCGATTCGGTAAGATAAAATACTTTTTTCAGGCGGTTTAAATAAAATGACACGTTTTCGATAATAATTTGTCTTGATTTTATTGAGGATTTTTCGAGTGTGACAAATAGGGGGGAAAAAACAAGAAAAATAAAACGGAAGATAAATAAGAATGTAAAAACTCTTAATGCACAATTTAAAATAAAAACCAAATAATGATTGAATGAAAATCGTCTCACAATAGAAAACTAGCAATAGGTATGCCTTTATGCACTTAGGCGGCTACGGGTTCAATTCTATATGTTAGTCACGCATTTTTTTAAATTTGCATTTTTTGTTTCTTCTAAAATTAATGTGTGTTTTTGTCTCTTTTTTCTGCTTAAAAAAAGATGCTGTTATGCATATTCATCTTTTTGTTTCTTGTCTTATAACTGTTTTAAAAGAGTTTGTTTTCTTCTTCTTTGAGGATATATTCTTCCCAAATAATCATCATCTCCTTTTTCTCTCCGTAGAGTATCTACTAAGCTTAAATGATATGTTTAATTTATGAACATTTTGAGTCGCATTCTTCAGTCGATAAAAATATTTTCTTGTTTTTTTTTGTGTCTATATATAATTTTAATTCTTTAAATAAATTTATTTAGTTTTTTTGTTGTTGTTGTTTCTTACACATGATGTATAATAATAGTAATAGTAGTAAATTTTTTTTCATTTTAATAAAGACAATATTCGGGATGTTGAAAACTGGAAAGCGAGTGTGATTGTTGAAACATATTTGCGTTGAATTCTTTAAAATTGACATCTATATCTGTGCGATTTCTAGGCAAATCGGTTGTTTCAACTCTTCGTTCGCTTTCGCTAGCTTTCAAGGTCTACAATGTCGTGTAATGTCTCATTCTCTGTGTGAAAGTGTTTTTTTTTTCTATTCAATAAATATGTGTTTGTATTAGCTTATGTGCAAAATTACTATTCGTTTTGAGTTTCTGTCCTCACAGATAATTTTTTTTTTTAATATTTTTTGTGATTTTTTTCCCTCCATTTAAAATAATTAAGTAAAAAGATTCTGGAACCATAAACGATATCTCTACGTTTTTTTGTGCTGTGTCGGCTCATATATTTTCTCTGTTTATTGTTTGTTTAGTTTTTTTTTTGTTTTCTCTCTTGTGGACGAACGATACACGAATATTTGCATACTGAGGAAGTAGAAATTTCTTCTGTCGCTAAATGACCCGCTAAAAGTAGTGTGTCGCGTTGCTGCTACTGCCTCATTGCAAAGCAGTCGCGCATGTAATAATAGTCTCGTTGCAATATAACAAGAGTACTTTATCGTTTGTGGAAAACACGTCAGCCGCCAAAGAAAAAAAAGCGTTGCGAATATGTCATTTGTTATTTAAACGGTGGAAACATGTAATATAATAATAATAACATGGAAGCCACATTTCGGAAATTGCAAATTTGCAGTAAACTTTGTAATATACATATAAGCTGATTTAATGGTTTTTCGAACCGAAAAAAACTAAAAAACCGAACATAAAATCAACCGAATAAAAAAAAATTATTGCGTGTGTTTAACGGAATAAAACAATTCGCGCGGTGATCGATTTAGCTTTAAATATCATAAAGATTCTAAAATTCAACGCTTAGAAACTGTTTCCATTTCATTTATGCTTTCCACACTTGAATATAATTTAATTTTGATAACATCAACGTTTCAACATCTACGAAATAATTCGTGAAAAATACAATTTTAAATTTTACAATCTCTTTCTCACTTCAAATCGATTATTATTACAAACAAAAAACAGAAGAATAAAATGTTTATAAAGTACAGTTCACAATGTGCCCCAAAAAAATTTGTTCCTTTGTTTGACATGCAATCATACAATTGTGTCAATCAAACGGTGCAATGAAAAATTATAACATTTTGTATTGTTTTCGTCTAGTGTTTACACCAATTAATATTACAAATCTGATCATAATAATAAAAATGTGTTCTTTTTTTCTCGCATAAATTCGACCATATTCGAATTATATTAGATTTAATTTTCATTTCAAAACATGTTTCAAAATTCATACAATTTTTTGTGTCATCAGGTGTGACCCGCAACGAAAAAAACATGAATTTTTCTTTAATAGTTCCATTTGATAATAATTTTTCTTATTTCAATTTGGAAAATGCATTCGAATCGAAATGAAAACATTCGACAGCGTTGCAGTGCGAAATACAATAAAAGCTCGTGATGGTGCCGATATAAAATTGGTTGTAATGCCATTCGAACAACAATCTCGAAACAGAGTTTTCTTCTTTCTCTTATACGTTTTTTTTTACTTTCTTTTTTGCTGATCAATATATCGCGCTGGAAACTGTATTGATACAATAAAGATACGCTAAAAAGGGTTTTAGCCAGTTGATATTGAAGAAGAGGATAACCAACAATTTCTTCAATGATAATAATAAAAAAAGATAACAAATCGGCGATTGTGTTTTTGTGTGCAGCCAATAAATACAATGACAGCGAACGAAAAACAAAAGAAACGTCGATACACACGAAACAATTCCACTGTGATTGTTTCGGTCGTTGTAAGTACGAATGCACATTATCATTAGTTCGGGATTATAGGTGCTGTGTGGTTTTTGCTGTTGTTGTTGTTGTGTGGACTGGAGTAAGTGTATTCGTTGAATTGGCTAAGTGGAATGTGGTGTTTTTTCTCTATTTTCGAACCGATTTGGCAGACATTAGGTTTGAGCTATGGATATAGCGGCTGCTATTTCATAGCCGCTATTCATAGGCGCTATTGATCTCGTTTTAATGCATTTATGCATATTGTGCGTTATTTTCTACATCTCTCTCGTACTCACATTAAAATGTACAAAAGAATAGTAGGCTATGATATTCCTACTCGGTTTTACATACAGCACACGAATCAAATAGCGCCTATGAATAGCACCTATAAAATAGCAGCCGCTATATGCATAGCTCGAACCTAATGTCTGCGATTTGGGCTTATATTAGTTTTCATTTTTGTTGTTGTTGTTTTGTAGTCTTTCGTTATTTGTATCAAGCAAATGACCCTTATAAAGTCTTTAGTGGTTGTTATGAATGGGAAATTTGCACTTAGGTGATCTACAGCATTGGTCTACATTATTATTTTTATTTATTTTTTTTTATTTTCATTTTTGACTTGTCCTTATCTAAAGTTGATTTTTTTCTTCTTCTCTAATTTTATTACTTAGTGTTTATGCTTTTTGTTTGGACCAATAATAAACGCATTCAAATGAAAAAAAAAACAGGCATTTTGAATGAAATGCGGTGTCAGTGGCATTGATCATTCTTTGTTTTTTTCTCCTTTGGTGAGTATGATTGAGATGAGACGTGAAGATGTAAGAATGAATGTTGTTTTTTTGTGTATTTTATGTTTTCTTCTTTCGCTATTTTGAGTGTTGATTTTTATTTATATGAAGCAATTTCTCTTTTTAAGTGTAATTAAACATCTGATCAATTTCTTTCATTGAAAAATCGTGATTAAATAGACGCAAAACAAATGTTGTTTGTTTTAGTTTAGTGAAGAGGTTCGGATGTTATGCTAGTAGGGAAATCAAATGGTTTGCATATATTTTTTTTGCCAATGAATTCTAAAGTTTTGAGCATTGAAATGTTTTCGCGTTAACATTCTCACCCACTTTAGATAATGTGTCGTAGACGTAATCGTAGTTGTTGTCGTCGAAGTGTTCTAGTTTGGTTGGTTTGTTCATTTAAATGCTTATTTACGCCGATGTCCAACATAATAATGTGGCTCGAATATGTTTGATACTATGAAATATCAAGAAAACTATGGCTAAACTTGAAGCTACATAGCTATTAGTTGTTATGGTACGACCACCATTAGTACATTGACTACTATTTACCGACGCTGGGGGGGCTGAAAATGAAACGGAAAATGGAATGGAACGATTTAAGAAAAGAAACTAAACATTTGATTTTTGCTAATTTGAAAAAAATAAAAAGTTTTCAATCAACCAAAACAGTTTGGTTGTTTAAAGAAAATGTTAATCGGTTCGTTAATTTGTACTCACTTGTTGCTGTTAAAAGTTGCGGTAAATAGTCTTTCCAGAATGCACATTGGCGCAGTCGTGGTCCCCGACCAATGTGTGTTACATTTATGGCAAGCTCATAAAACTCTTTTCCGTTCGCACTGTGCTTGGGCCATAGGTTTTCAGTTGATTGACCATTTGGATTGCTGCATAAACGACGACAAATTGACATGATGATTAATGAGTGACGCGAAAAATGAGACGTACATTTTGCAATGCATTTATATGATACCTACCCATATCTAGCGAAATTGGTCCAATATCGCATAATACGCTTGCTAAATTGTTTCTCTTCCGGTGTGTATTCAAGTGATGGATTTAATGCCTCGCCAAAGACAAAATTAATTTCATCAGCATGCATTACACCAGTCCATTTAGGCCATGGACTAGTTGTACTTCGATGACTATACAGATACATATACACGTTTAAATTCTCCTTTGCATATCTGATGAGAGGCAAACAGATAAATCCATTGAATTCGAAGTAAATCATTTCATTGAACAGCTTTAGAAATTGCTATGATTCTACATACCCGTGAGCGAATTCATTGACACCGCATGTGAAATGTTTGTCACCGACCATTTTATCTAATGCATCTCGATTACTATCCACATTATTCGGATCCGTCCAGTTTGTGTATTCGAAAATAATCGCCTGACGACCGGCATTATTTACATATGGATTCAATTCTTTCACAGCCTGCAAAAATTCTTTACGTGAAACCGTAATGCCTTCCTCCTTTTTAAACAGTTCCGTCAAGTAATAGATTATAAAGTAATTTCCTTCATCCGTATTACTTCCCATTAGAATATCAGTTTTCTTGAATCGACCATTTGCAATACTCTTTTGTGGCATTTCATCTAAAAATGCTCCATCGACAATTGGAGTAAATGGAAACTCACAAATACCTGAAATAGTTTCATTTAAAAATCAAATTAAAATTAAAACTGTCTTACAAATAGTGTATATGTATAAAATGTTCGTACCTAATGAGCCCCATTCATTGTACACCAATGTTTTCGGATCTTTCTCTCGCAAACATTTTGCAACATCAGCCAAATCATTCTCATCATGTGGACAATTAACGGCTTCAGCAAGTCGAAGGGCTCTAAAATGTGCGCAATTGATTTTAAATTACAAAAATCTCGAATCAAATGTGTAAATATGGAATGAGCTAGAGAATGAGTTTTACCTCAATATGGCTTCTTCGCGTTTGATAATGGCCCATGGAGCAGTCGCAGCTCCACTTTGCATGATGGCACGTTGAAATAGGTCTCTGGATAGAGCCGACAGTAAATGCAATGATACAGACACAGCTCCAGCCGACTCACCGAATAAAGTGATGCGATTTGGATCTAAAACGGAAGCGCAATTGTAATTTTTCAAATAAAAGCAAATAAATTGTGAAAAAAAAAGATTCAATATGCAAAAAAGCAAAAGTACCTCCACCAAAGTGTTTAATGTTATCTTTAACCCAGCGCAGTGCCATATTTTGATCGAAAAGGCCAGCATTTCCAGGTGCTTCTGGTATGCCAAGATAAAGGAATCCCAAACTAGCCACACGATACTGAATCGATACGACGATAATATTCTCTTCGGTTGCGAGTGCTTTGTAATCGTAAACATCCAGTGTGCTTGTGCCTTGGAAAAATCCACCGCCATAGATCCATAGCATAACTGGTGAGTTTTTGGGTCGTGGATGCGGCACAAATACATTTACATAGAGACAATCTTCCGATAGCTGTGTATTTGGATTCCACATTTCGGCACCGCGAAAGTCACCGAATACCGTATCCATGATTTGAACACATGAATTAGGCCGTACAGTTGTATTTAATATACCGTCCCATTTGTCAATTGGACGCGGATGACGATATCTCAACTGTCCAACGGGTGGTTTTGCATATGGAATACCAAGAAATACATCCAGTTTTTTGCCGGACGCCGATGTTAGAGTTTTACCTCGAATTTTTCCCTTTTCAATAGCAACGACTAATGGATCATTGTCTTCTGGATCTAAAAATAAAACAATTTTTTCATTCTTTTGAATTTCTATCACACGCACACACATTCTTTGGGGATCTATACTAACCGTTATTCGATTCTCGTCGACTAATATTCTTTCGTTTCGTTGAAGTAGCTGATTGAACGCCGTCTTTTAAATGTTCTCGCTCTAATGTACCTAGTTCAGGATCAACTACTCTAACTGCTTCGCCATGGCCCAAATATGGAGTGAAAAAGGCATCTTAATTTTTGTTTTTGTTTTATATACGTACATTTTGTTTTTCATTCCACAAACACACGGAACATAACCAATAAAAAAAAACAACAACAGGAAAACAATAAATAAAACAACGTCAAGATCAAAAAAGAACGTTAAGAAATTGAGAGCATATCAAAGTGAAAATGCAATGTGTCTGTGCCATGTTTGAGTGATGGCCGTCATACTACACCATATTCTCATGCCCACACGCAGACACATTGTATATTCTATTATTATATACTATTTATATTGGAAATTAGAAAATATCGAGAATAGTAATAGTAAATATTTTAAAAGTTCAAAGAAGATTTTTATTGATACATTTTTATTACATGCAAGAATTCAACTCACCATCGTCGGCAGATTTTTCCGCTGAACTTAAGTGTCGATCATATTTCAATGCTGTTTCGTATGGCAAATTATCAACGTCTCGATGTCGACCATGCACTAATTGAAACACGCCACAGATACCAACAAGAAAAAAGAGTACATTTCTTACATTCGCTGCTGACCTCACGCTACCAAAATTGCCGCACAGTATCTCCATCATGTTGGAGATACAATATTCAATTGCTGATTACAATTCGCTTCAATGCTTTTAATTATCACTTTGTAATTATATTGTACGGAAGGATGACAACGACGAAGATGATGATGACAACTCGAACGAACAATTTCACTTCAAAGACACTGACTGCCCTGAAAAAAGAAATCAACACAAATGCTCTCGTTAAAAATACAAAAAAAAAATATATATGGAGAATGACATTCATCAAGAAAGTTAAATGAAATGAAAAGGGATTGTTCTTCTGTTCACGTGCAATGAGCACAATAGCGACACACACAACCAACGACATCAGCAACAGAAAAACCAACGACGATGACGACTACAGCAGCGGCAAGCACCAGCACCATATTAGCATTGGCGACTGGTTATTAATGCGGCTCAGAGAGAAATAATTTGCATCCGTCGTTGAACAAAATGCATTTAATGTAATACAAGCCATTTGAATATAAAACGAGCACCATAGAAAAAAAGAGAGAGAGAGAAATCATGTTCGCATTTTCGAATTGCATGTCTAACAGTGGTGACTCACACGAATCAAAAAGAATTGAATTGAATTGCAGCGCGCAACATTGCCTAAATTTTCCAAATGAAAAATTAGAAACGAACGAAAAAAGAAAATCTGTAGCAATGTGCACATTGCATAAAATGAATGCGCTATATAGTGCAATCTGTATGAAAACTGTAAAAATGTACCCAGAACGGAAAAATTTAATAAAGAAAAATTGTTTTTTCGCTTCGCGTTTTAATTTCATGAAAAACGTTGATTGCTATTTACTTCATCCGTAGATTAATTCCAAACTCGATATAAACCGAGTGTACCAGGGGTACGGTGTGCATGAGAGTGCTGAACGAATGAATAAGAACAATAACAATATAAACAAGAGAAAGAAAAAAACACACACACCAACTCGACGAATAAACACAAAAGTTGAAGTACGCTGAAAGCAGTTATTAAGCCAACGTAAAAAAGGATATGGATAGGAACAATGAACAATAAAACTATGCTCGGATACTTTTTTTTTCGTTGTTTCATGACTCGAGGTCAAATGGTTTTTATGCTGGAAATATACAGTCAATACTCTGCATGCGATTTGAAGAGTGAGAGTAAAACAAAAAAAAAAATAAAAAAGAAGAAAACACGACGAAAAACACGATTTTCAATTATGAAAAATCGGTTACATTTTAAGTGAAGCGCATTTTTATTTGTTAGAAACAAGTGAATCTGCTGGCGTGTATGTATTGTGCTTGCAACCGATTTTTGTCAATATATTCGGTAGCATTCTGATTTAAGCGATACATTTTCAACAAGATCACAATTTAAATTGCATAAAAGTTGTTATACATGTTTTATTCATTTTTCTTTCTATCTTTTTCGTTCACTACTACGTTTCAAATTTGATGCGAAAAATATATATATATCACGAATTGAATCTGGGACCATAAGAATGCCGATAGCTTAGTCGCAACGTGCTGATTCACAAGCAGCTTTTGTTTCGAACAAGTGAAAAATGTATACATATATTTATATACAGTACACGATAGAAACAATTCAATTGCTGTTTATTTCTTTTCAAATTCGAATTAATGGCTCCGTGGTGCTGACTTTATCGTCGTTTTCATTTCAATTCAAGGGTTAGTTTTGCACCGTGTATATTTCACATATTTTTCATACATATATGAAATTCACACCATTCACACATTTCCTTTTGCTTTGGTTCGAATGGATTTTTCCCTTGTTTTTTTATGAGGCGCTGCGCTGGAAGCAGTTAGAACAAAAGGAAGAATCGACACCACTTGGACAGTAGAAACTCACATACAAACAGTGCAGTAGATTGAATATATCGATTTCAAATTCACAAAGCAAACAAAACTTGAACCTTTGTCAATTTATCGATATGTATATATTTTATATCTTGTGAATGGCGCAAATAGTATAACATTGAATGTGCGATTTTTGGATATCATGGCACTCAATTTAATGTGACTGGGAAATAAAACAACAGTGAATAGAGTTTTTATCGCACATGGAATGAACAATTCGATGTTGGTGTCGGATTTGAAGCCGTCCTTTGAAGAACGGATCGTAAAAACACGTCTTTTGATGTATATATTATCGAATTTTATTGCAGTGATATATTCAGCACAATATTGGAACACAATGCGCACCCATAACGCATCACCACAACCATATCTCTTCAATTGCGGTTCGAATGGCTACAAATACCAAGCCATTTGCACACAATCGAAAAAGTTAAATCGATTGAGAAAAAGTTGAATTTATTTGTCGATTATAGAAACTGACACCGCAACCAAGCGCCAAGACAAAGTTTTCAACTGGAAAAATGGTCAATTTCCATATATTTTTGCCATTGTTTTCTTATTTCATTGTTGTGTGTTACATAAAAAAATATATTAATAATAATTTGATAAATTTACTTTTTGTTCGTATGTCACGTATGAAGTTCGTAATTGTCCGAGCATTAATTCAATGGACAATGAAATGAAACATTCAATTGTCAACGTGACGCACATTCACCCAAAGAGAAAACATTCTCTTCTTGGGACGTTTTTTATTCTTTATCCATAAAGGTAGAATAATTATGCGATTGTGCCGGTGACAATGCGTCTCATTCGTAATTGCGTGTTTGTTCAATAGCTTATAATTTTTCGAATTTCATAATCAATAGCCATTCGTCCTTCCACAATGTTATTCCCATTTCACCTTTTTTAGCGAAAATTTCAACGGAATGTATTCAATGTAACGGAATTTTAACCATTGTTGTTGTATAATCTTATTGTTAATGCCATTGTTGTTGGTGTTGTTTTTGTTGCCGTTGATTGTCTGATTTATTGTTGAGATTGAGCTTCCCACATTGTTCCTATTAAAATAGATTATTATCAAGAGAATATGCTGTGTGAAAATTTTAATTGCTTCCATACTAACTAGAAACATTCATCGAGCGTAATAAACGATCATTTGATGTAGCACGCAATAGAATAAAATATCAAAATGGGGGAGAAACAGGGATTGAACAGTGGACGGTGAAAACGAAAGGATAAATTGTGACCATGGTTATGTACCGTATTTTGTGTTATGTTCATTGATGTGTTCATGTTATGGTTGACCGGTCATTATAATTATCCAAAAAAAAAATGTACGAACGAAGTCAAGTGATTCGAGTTGGTGATATGTATGAGTAAGCATATGGTATTTTTGCGTAAAATTAATCGCAGCACATTTTTGTAAGTGGATGCTTTAGAGCTTTTGTGAATTGAATTCCGCAACTGTTCATGTCCTGTTGACTACAACCGAATTCACATTCCGCACATTTCGACGGATAGCGTATTAAGTTCGCTTGTATATATACGCTAGCTAAGCACAAAAATGAAATAGAAAAATCAAATAAAATAAAGCATATGCATACAGTGTTGAAATTTATGTGCGGCGAATTTCATGTGAGATCGGTACGATTGATATGATTATGTAAAATTTATTCCGTAATACATTCCCAAGGATAATAATAAAGGATTTAATTCAATGCTCAAGAGATAGCAGACAGACATTTGAGAAGTTTGTGAGGCTCGCACAACCGCAACAGCCACTATAACTGTTCGTTATTCGGCTACTCGGTATTACACAAACAAACACACACTTCTCTCGCTTCTTTTTCGCATTTCTGCGAATGTTTTTGCATTTATGCTGGTGTAATAATATATTTCCTTAGTTTTTTTTTCGTCTGATTTCCCACTTGAATCCAATGCAAATCGCTCGACTATTTTATGCATAAAAGCGGACAATGAGAAGGAAATCACCCTCTGTTCTCTACAGTTCCATCTTCTTTTCTCATTCAAAATCAAAATGGTGAAAGTGCGACAAACAAAGAGATAAATTTGCACGATTACAATACGATACTATTACATCAACAGTAAAACATATCGCTCGATGGGTTTTATTGTTGCGACATAATCTACCTTAATTATTCTTAAGGCACGCAAAACATTTCATTTTCATGCGAGCCTTTTCATTTAACCTCTCCTTCAAAAGACTTTTTTTGTTTTATTCTTGTCTTCGGTTCACTACTTCAGTGCATGTAGTTTTTGTCATACTTCTCTGGTTTCTCATACCACACAGAGCGTATTGAGAGCTTTATTTAGCTTTGTTGATATTCAATTATTTCTTGTTCCCTTTCGAATGTCCTCAAGTGTACTGTGTGTGTGTGTGTGTATGAGAGAGTGTGTGCGTTTTTTCTCTCCCTCGTCACACTCGAGTTGGTTCACTGGTGCACAACACCACTCGAACTCGATTTCATGTGGCACTCGGGTGCTTTTAACTACTTTAGCTATGAATAATTGTTATTACAGCAAGTTCCGCATCGATAGTGTGGCATCATTCATGTCGTTAATTGTTTCTGGGTTAAACAATGCACGGGGTAGAATGGGTGCATGTGTGTACATGTACATGTTTGTCATGTTTCGAACAGTTATTCAGCAAGCTGTCAAAATCGCGCTAAGCAACTTCATTCTCAATTTTATACCGACAATCAATTCGTTTTGTTTGAAATGTTTGCAACGCAAACACACACACAAATGGGAAAACTACATTTTAGCGGCAGAAACAGCATTTTATATAACTGCTTTTGACAGTCGTTTTTCATTTTACTTTATATAACAATTGTTTGGTGGCTTTTAAAACTATACAGACTGATTGCTTTCCTGAGCGCATAAAAGTCGAGATTATTGTTTTTACTCCGTCGTCGTCATTGTCGATGCAATGGATGGCCGCTTTGAATTATACCGTTTATAACACAATCTTGACAGTTTGTTTCCAATTGCTGCTGAATTGTGTGTGGACATGGCATACATACAGCAGTAGACAACGAAAAACTCTCTACATGTAGTTAAAATCGAATGGAAAAGGAAAACATTTGTTATTTGTTGAATGGCATTATCCGTTATGTAACCTTTTGAAGGTACTGGACACATACCCAACCGCGTTTTTTATATCGAGCATTTTTTTTTTTTTTTTGTTCTTCAAACATACATCTGTCTATCGCAACATAGAGAAAATGGGTTTCTTTTCGCATTGTGCGACCGAATCGTTATTGCGTTTGCTATATAAATAATATGTATA